TCAGTAGTTTTATTTTTCCCTGGCTTTTAGGATGATGCATAATTTCCCTTCACCTTCTTGACATTTTCAGATTTTATTTTTCATGTCTACTTTTGCAGCAGAATCTTAGGATTTATCTTTGTACTTCCATATGTATCATTAATGCAGAATTAACCCAGTTCTGTGATCCAAACAAATAATACAGATTTGATCCAAACACGGGTATAAAAAACACTAGTCTTACATTAGTCTCTATTCTGATTGAGACATCTTTTGCAGGATTTAGGGGTGGGAATATCTTTATTACTCTTTTCAGGTGTTGTCCATAAAAGTTCTTTCTAGGATCTATATGTGATGTCGAATCATCAACTCATGTTTCTGCAGTGCCCTATGCTGCTTGTTCCTGCATTGTGTGTTAGTTACATCATGCATTTGTTAGAACCTATGGATCTTCCACACTATTCACTGAAGATTATTCAAAATCTTTACTCCAAAAATGATGGGAAAACGTTTTTGTATCCTTTTTGTTCCAGTACAAATTGTCTTTAATCCTGCAGACCAGACAGACCTTTAGAAACTTGAGGATGAGCAACAAAGGAGAAAATGATGGAGAAGTAAGGGAGAATTAAAAATTGGGAGTAATTGCATATGATTTATTTTATGGAGTTAAGCCTTCCGCTAGCTTAACTGTCATGATGGTGTTAAGGTGAGCCTGATGAATTTGAAACTGACAAGACCAGAAATTTTCAGAAGACTGGAGAACCAGTGGATTGGATCATTAAATGAAGACATGGATATGGTGACCTGCTTGCTGTTTTAGCCTTGCAAAGGCTTACAAATGTTTCTAGATCCCTTGCTTATATTTTTTTTCCTTGTATTATTTATTTATTTGTAACTCACTGAGAGCCTGAAGAAAAGAGGCTGGAGATTAATAGTGCTGAAATTTACTTATGTTTGGTGATTAGACACTTAGTAAATTGTATGAAAGCCATAGGGAATATATATGACTGGCTGTCTCTTAACCTGGGCTTTACAAAATAGATAGGTAATATTGCGTGTAATCCTGACATGGAAAAATAGGCCTTTACTGCAGCACAAGGTTAATGCAAGAGTAACATCCTGTTTTCCTTCATTACATGTATAAGGTACGTTAGTACAGACTCCCTGCAGAATTTAATACAGAGATTAATTCTGCATAATTTCCTTACTTTATGAGGAAGAAGTGTTGGTCAGGTTTCAGTATGGAATATCTGTCTCAGACTTTACCACAGAACCATGCATTTAGCTTCACCTCAAAAAGAAAATAATCTCAGTGCTAGCAGATTACTGAAATTAAAATGGCAATGCTGTTTGAAGATTTCAGTACTGATTAGTTCATTTACTCTTTTTAGTACTAGTATTAAACATTTCAATAATATGCTGTTGTATTGGCTTTTATGAATGTCTGTAAAGATTTTAGAAGTCCTTTTCATTGGTCATCTGCTGTGAAACAGCCATTATTTCAGTTTCCATTACCTTGCACATTGCATATGTACAGAATGTGATATAGAAAACTGTCAAACTGTATGTCTTGTCTTCATTTCTGAGGCTAATTGATGTATGTATGTATAGCATATATTTTAAAACTATCTGTCAACATGATGCCTTGAAATAATTAATCAATCATATTTTCTTCAAATAGGAGAATTGGCTTGGACCATCTGAGAATATAGACAGATCTTAAATACCCTGAAAGTTTAATTATAGCATCCACATTTGCTCTATAGTTTTGCTATTATAATAATTTTCCAAGCCAAGTGAATTATGATAACATCTCAATGATACCTGCTTTTGTATCATTGATGGAGGCAGAGTTAAAACCATTAAGTTCAGAATTCAGACCTTCCACAAGAGTTAATTCATGTAGGTTCTCGTCTCATCCATCACATGCTAACTTGGCTGCACGGAACAAGGCACTTTCCTCCTCCTTCACTATTGTTTTCTATGTTGTTTAACAAAATAAATCTTCCCAAAGGTTTTCTTACAAAGACTTCGTTAAACCAGAATTCCAAGGGCCTTTCAGATTTCTCATACTTAACCTTAACAAAGTGACTCCCACTCTTGTATTTTAGCTTGCACAGGGAAATAGAAAGCCCAGGGCCATACAGCAATTTAAGGACAACCTGACAAATTCATAATGTACCTAAAGGTAAAGAACCTGCTGTTTTCATGTGGAATATGAACACCTAGCGTCCTTGGCTGATTCAGTGAAAACTAAGTAGGGACAACTCTAGTTAGTACTTTAAAGGAGAAATCACTGGGAAATCACTGTAGGCTGTTCTGGGAAGTAAAAGTATTCCAGAAGGTGATAGTAAATAACTTTCCTACTGTTGGAAGGACAACTGCATGAGTATCTTCATAGTTAACTAGGAGTCAAATGTAATTTGAAGGAGCCTTTACCATTCTTAATAGATGAATGAAGCCCAGCCAGCGTTATGGTCATTTCAGTTTGACTACATGATAGAGCTTTTAAGAACAAGAAGTAGAACCTTCACTCCAAAGTAAAATCATGAGATTTGTTTCTTCAAGTCATATATTACTATTACTTAGGTTGTGAGCCCTTGTTGGGTAGGATACGAATATCTGCACACCTGAATCATAACAACACTGCTCAAACACTGAATGTGATTAAAATGAAGATTTTTTAAAATTTTCAGTCATACTTTTTATGCTATTATATTTTGAGTACATCACAATCTGAAAATACTGTTACTATGACAGTTGTGAATTACTAATGATGTAGAGGGTTAGGTCTGTTGGGGGCAATAAGACAATAGTGGAAAACAACAGCACGATGCCACCTAAACATAGAATGAAACAGCTGTGAGCCTTCAATGTTTTTCTGCAAATCTCAGCTTCCTTGATCATTAGCCGTGTTGGCTAAAATTGTGAGAATTTTAGTTCAGCAATATCTAGAAATCCACAGTTTTAAAGAGTTAAAGAACAATTCATATCTGGCATGGAATTTCTGTACTGCAACTTTGCTTCCCATGTATAAGCTGCGTGGAAATTAAGTCCACATTTTCAAGATCTCATAGTATTGTTTAAGTAACCAGAAAAGATAAGGAAGCTGATCTACAGGAACCAAGCAGAGTAGAATAATAAAAGTTTTTGTAAGACAATGTATTGTGGCCTCAAAGCCAAAGCCAAAGCAAAAAAAAAAAAAAAAAATAGCCATGTGAAATGTGACATTTTCTAGAAGTGTGATGAATTAATGGCATTATAAAAGCATTAACTATTGAGGCCACTTAATATTTGTTAGATTCCTGAAAGTGAATTCTAATGGTAGTCATAATGCATTCTGAAGTTGTGCAAACATTCTATACAAGCTTGACTGGCAGGCTTAAGAAACCTTTTGATATTTATTTCTGGTGGGAAAAAAAACACTAAATAATGAACAATGTGGTTCAAGTGGGTGGAACATATAATAATGTCACTTGTGAACATTTGAAAACCATTGAATCTCAGAAAGGGAAGCCATTTCTCAGAAAAATTGTCACAATCCTACTGTAATTTTCAAATGAAAGAAGACTCTGAAAAAGATTTTATGTCCTGATTCCCACAGATATATTCCAGTTGGGCTATATGACTTCCGGCTGCAGAATAGCAGTCATATTTGTATGATCCTATATACAAACTGCATATCAATGTTTGCATAACATTAGTGCTGAAGTAATTTTTTTTCTGTGCAGAAATGATAACATCATTATCAGCCCTCAGAATTAGATCACTGAAATTTCATGCTAGAAATGATCTTGAAGAGCCCCTTAAAATCATAAAGAAATGGCTTGTCTTTATCAGAGCTACCAAAGTTTTTCATGTATTTGATCGGAATCATATCCTGTATAATAAGACACTAACACATTGCTGTGATTAACTTTGGGATATGAGAATGTATCATAAGATTGTTCTTTTAATTAAGGAACTGCTATGTGATGTTTAATAAGGGAAGCAGCACACATGATCAGCTATGTCTTTCTGGTGTAGTTTTTGGTATCTTCCAGCATTATGAGTGGAGAACATCCCATGTTTCCAACACATCCAATACATAACCAAGTATCCATCTCAGTGCAATCAATCGGATGATCTTTATGGACAAAGCATCAGATTACAACAGTGTCGTTGGATAAGACCAATCTAGTGGGTGGGGGAAACAGTAAAAGCTTCATCATTTACAAGAACCATAATAATGGACGGAATTCTCCAAATCTGGATTCTACATTCACAGCTTCTACTAAAGTCAGCAAAGTTTGAAGGGCACAAGCATGTAAGCCCATGTCTCACATCATGGGAGCTGCTAATGGGCTTGGATGTCAGCATTTCTCAAGGAAAAAGTACTGGTTTGATGACAATTTGTGTTGTCATGAGATTATGCTATGTGTTAGGGTAGATTTAAAAGCCCTGATCCAGCAAAGGAGATTCAGGTATGAATAGCAATAGCACTTAGACTTATATACCACTTTATAGTTCTTTATAGCACTTTTTAAGAGGTTTACAAAGTCAGCAGATTGCCCCCAACAATATGGGCTCTCATTTTACTCTCCTTGGAAGGATGGAAGGCTGAGTCAACCTTGAACTGGTTGGGATCGAACTGGCAAAAGTTAGGACACTTAGCCTGGAACTCTGTATTCTAACAACTGTGCCACCACCACTCCATGAATGCAGGCTTCTTTGTGGTGAATCCATATGCATAAACCACAAAATGCACTCTGGCCCATAAAAGAGGTTGAATGTGTCTCTTCACAAAATTGACCAATGGCCATATTGATCTGTGATCTTTTGTTGAGTGACTAGGTACATATGCTGGATTAGGGCACTGTATTTTTCAGTTTAGGTAATATAGGAGATTGTTAACTTGGGAGGTGCAAGGTGATCAAATAAAGTGTGCTGCATCCTCTTAATTGTAAACACAAATGCTTTGACTTTCGGTCCATATTACACCTTTCTTTTTTCCCTCCTCTGTCCCCATTTTTTTTTTCTAGGTTGGCGTAGCGCCCAGGGAACTCCCGATGTGTGGCAAATTCCGGATGGAAGCTCAAGGACGCTTAAATTCTGAGAGAATTTGAAACGCAATGGGGATTTGCGCCACGTATGTGACATCCAAGTGGGGTTGGCTGTTTGGTTAGTTTCGTGATGCTACCTGACTGAACAGCATCAAAAGCAGGATCTTTCCAGACACCCCTCTGCTGCCTGTCCAGAAGACTTTCTATTTATATATTTTTAACAAAATAGCAAAACCACATCATTGGGGAAAAATCTTTCATCAAGGGCTTTCTTATATATATCTATATTCCTTTTATTTGACAATCTTGTATGCCATTTTCTTTCTAGAATGGCAATAGGAAAGCCACCTAAAAATAATAGAGTGATCCAATAAACAAAGAGTTATTAAATCAAAACCTTTTACTCAGGCACATCTACATTTCTCATTTATGATGTCCAAAGCCTGAAAGAACACACATTTTAAAAACCTTTAAAGTTCAGGAAGGCTTTTTCCCTGGACCTTTGAACTTCTACATGTGTCACAGGGCAGACTAGTTGAGTTGGGGTGGGCACCCTATGGGTTGCATGTGACTCCCGAGTCCACTTTTTGCAATTCACTGAGTCTGTCAAGATCATACAATCAACATTTGGTGGGAACTACCAAATAATGATGATGCCAATTCTCAATGAGAAATACATAAAAATAGGTGTATTAATTTCTGATGGATTTAATGCACTGATCAAATTTTATCCTTCCCAGCCCCTCCCACCAACAGAAAATCTTTCTTCTCTGGTGATGCTATTATGTTACTGCACAATCCACTGCAGCTGTAGTAACCATGGTCCTTGGCCATGGAAAAGTTGCAAGACTTGGACAGATTAATTTTATGAGGTCTGGTTCAATATAAAATAATTTATTTGGCTTTACTTACTACAGCATAAAGAGATAGCTCTCTTTTTAAAGTATATGCTGAATATTTCAAGGCCAATTTTAGGAATATCTGACTGAAACTTTTTATCCACTTTGTTTAACACCTATTCTTCACTAATGGAGAATGCAGAAGGGAGACCACAGTAAACACGAACTCTTGCAGCAACATCTAACATAGCCAATGCTTGCAATGACATAATGGTGTGCCAGCTGATGTCACACGTGGAACAACTGCTCCCATTGATTTCTGCTGGTTTATTTTGTGCATACTAGTAGCCAAAACTCAATGTAAAAGCAACAGATGTCATAGTGCAACATGTCTTCCCTAACTAGTAGAAGTGGAATACTATTATTTAGCCCTTCGGAAGTTTTAATCAAGTGCCTGTTAGTTAAATATGATCAAACATGAAGTCCAATCATGGAAATGGCCATCTTCTTTTCACAGAATATGTCCCAGTGTTTCTTAAGGGAATATTGAAATTGTAACTCCCTTTAGAATGCTTTTCCTCCTTCCAGTGAAGCCCCATAGCTTTGCTTTTCTCATAAGATACATGCTATAAGTTGTTTGAACAAGAAGAGATTTAAAGAGAAGCAGAAAGCTGGCAGGAGCAGCCACTGCATGGAAGCGGGTTCTTTGCGTGAATTGGTATGAGCAGACAACTAGTGTCCTCTAAATATTTTTTATTATAATTCCCACCATCGTTTGCTGATAGGAAATTCCAAAACATTTGGCAGAAGCAATTTGCCTACCCTTGTTGAAAAATTAATAGATGGACAGAAATAAAATGGGCTTGGAATCTGAGAATTTGAAGAGAGACTTTTAAACAACTAATTCAACTCCCTGTGATGTAAGAAATTAAGAGCCAAAGTAACACCTGCAGATTATTTTCCCGTCCTCTTATCTGGAGGCCTCCAATGAAGCAGAACCACTAACCTTCCAGATGCTTGGTTCCATTATCAAGCTTCTCTTGAAGACAAGAAGTTTTTACTAGTGTAGAACTGAAATCTGTCATCCTCCATGATAAGTCTGTTGTGCTGCCTTGACCAGCATGAAATATATCTTTTCTATCTTCTTTTGATAGTCCTTAAGCTTTGAATTCCAGTGATTAATTACAAATCATTGATCCCTATCATTGATCCAGTAATTTTGGTATCCTATGCCATATTGACAGGCAACATCTCTTGGCATTTCAGAAGTCTCTCTTAACTTTATCTGGAGATCCTCCCAAATTACGACTTCAAAATTAATAAATTTTGTTTGCTCTTGGTTATAGCCGCTTGGTACATGTTTACTCCATGCCTAGGATCTACAAAGAATCTGGATTGAGTACTGGAGGAAGAAGCAAGGAATTTTGTATCCTCAAATCTTATTTTCCTGCAACTAATTTTTCCACAGAGGGCAACTCTTTTTCAAAGGACAAGTGAAGCTGGGTCATTACTACTATTTTTTTTCCTGCAACCTAAATTAATTGGGGAAAGGATAGTTCTGACAGATGATAAAATAGCACATGGAGTCTAGAGAAGGATAGACACATAATTCTTTTCATCTTGAAAAACTATTAGGACTTTCTATGCTTTCTCTGTACCAGTTCCAAACTGACACACAATTTCTCTTGGGATAGGGATTTGTGCGTAAAACAGGTTTACAGCAATCCATACCATTGCTAAATTTGTGGTTGCTTTAAAAAAAAATAGGCAGGAGAAAGAGGTTAATCATTGCTGATGCCATTCTCCTGATTTGACGAGGGCCATTGGCAGTTGTTCTTTATATTAGGAGGTTCCCATTGGTAACAAAAAGAGTTCTCTACTGATGCAAATAGTAACACCAGGGATTTGCTATTCAACCTTGTGCTGATTCAAACTTCTTACGTCTTAAAGGTCAAATAGATTGGATTCAAACTTTTAAACCAATCTGAAAAATGAATTTGAGTCAACTGTGGTATTCAATTTCAAAGTTAAATTTATAGAACCATTTCCAAATTAAATCTCTGGATTAAATACACTCTGGATAGTGTATTTGCACAGCTCCAATAGCTGTGTTTTGGGAGCCAGTTACATTGGTTGATAACCTGGTGAACCTCAACATAATTGTTTACAACATAGGCCTAAAAGACACCCTATAGTTTAAAAAAATTCTGGAGAGAAGAAAATTCTCTAAAAATACATGTGGCACAAATATTGCCCTTTCTGGAAGTGATTTTTTTGAGCCCATCCACTGTTTTTGAACCAAACTTGTAGAGAGAATGGAGATGAAATTTTAACAGTCCTCCAACACAAGACCTATAAGTTAGGAGTGATATACGAGTGTTAGAATATGTGAACACAGAGTATGCTGGGAAAAGATACTGTGCCCCCACCCCCCATCACCAACAGTCTCCAGTATGTATATCTGAAAGATCTGAAATGGATGTTTTAGGTATTCAGCTGAACATGTTTACAGTGTCTGCATGATCAGGAACTTTCTTTATCAAAATTTCTGCTAGTGAAAGCTTTATAATTAAGTTCAACTAATATGCTACACCTCCATTTCAGATCATCCAGATAAATAAGGAGATGTCACAGCAGGGGAAATGAGGCTGCAATATGTTTCTTGTTATCATCCATGCTTGTAAGTTTTTAGTGTCAGAGGAGGGCTTGGGATGTGCACAGGATTTATATATGCCCTCCCTCAAAAATTTGTATATGCATGGGTTGCTAAGCCAGGTTTGTGAATGTAACTGATCGTTGCCCCAATTGGGGGGAGGTAAAGGAGTCTGGTTGGTTTATACTGAGCCAGCTCATTGGTTTATGTTGATTACTGTCAATGCTATGCTAAGTGGCTGTGTTTCTCCTCCAGAGGTCCAATCTGCTAGCCCTTTTAACTGAAAGTACCAAGAACTGAACTATGAGCCATGTGACTAGCCATGTGACTCTAAATTATCATAAGTTTTAAAATCTACTTTTCCAGATCAAACCAGAAACAACTTATATTTTCACATCCTACAATTTACAGCTCTAGACAGCATATGTTTGCAGAAGTATTGAAAATCATTATTACAATTCCATATTCTAGTCATCACATTGATATTCTTGCCTAATTCTGTGTGGGATTTCCAACTGTCTTAATTTATTATTTGTGTGCAACTAAGTGATGCTTATTGTGATGTATTGCTTTTCTGTTGCTTAAGTATGTATTTTGGGGGACAATGGGGTGGGAGGGCTACTTTGTTTGGAAAAATAACAAACAAAATGAAATCTAAGAGGTGTTTGTGTCAGACTGTGATTGTACAACTTGTTCTTTGGAGGAAAACAAGTGAAAGAAAATTAATATACTTCTTAGAGTCCCTCTCTATTTTATCAAGGAAGCTAAAACTGTTCAAGGAAAATAAATACTAAAGTAGCAAAAAGTTTTCACTGAGATAAATACTAGTTTAGACACTCTCATGGAAATTTGATTATATTAGTAACCTAAAACCTTGGGGTTTGAATAGAGGGATGAAAGGAAACAATCACATAATTCTTATGAGCCTGAATGAAACTGGACAACATGGAAGGAATGGTCTGGAAAATGAAACTATTGGTGCTGGAATGACCTACATACTTTAATTGATGCCAATTGACTTACATATTCTGGACCAAATCATTGATGTAGCTGGAGAGATTCTGTGACACCCAAAGTTACTTTTAAATATTTGAAATAAGCCAAGCCATATGCTACAGAGAGGACAACTTCCCTTTCCTGATTTAATGCCCCATTTGCCTTAAGTAAGGTTTTTAATCACTGCCTTAGAAATGAATTGAATCCTGTTTTAGGAGAGCAATGTGGACAACAATTCCCAATAGGTCTTTCCCACATAGACCACTACATTAGCAGAATTCCATTAAAAAAGAAAGGTGAGTGGAAATCACATGGGAAGGAATATATCAAGGCAGTTTCCAGATCCACTTTCTCATACAAGCATGGTTTTTTCCACGTTACTTTACCTACACAACTTTACTTTACCTACACAACTAGCTAACTAGAGCAATGTGGAATGAAGCTATAGAACTCTAATCCAAGTCAATTCTAAATTTAGAAAAATACATGAGAAATTTAATGAGACACATCGGTCTTGCAACATGTATCAAGGCATGGTTAAGCTCATCACGTTAAAAGAGTGGAAACGCAATTTAACTAGTTACACTGAACATTATTGAAAGGTTTTGTTTTCATTAGAAAATCAGTTTGGGTCACAACTGCCCAAACAAGAAAAAGCACAGTAAATATGCAAAAAGAAGAAAAAAGAAAGAAGTACTTTAACATTGACAAGATTTTATTACATGTCAAGTTCTTAAGTCATCATGTTTTCCCTTTTTAATAGCAGTCACATATTGTTGCATCTTAGGTCCCAAATATCTATTTCATTTCCCCAAAATTGGTCAGTTTGCAAAAAGGTTCAGAAAGATTAAATAAAAATAAATTGGAAGCCCCCCCATCCCGCAATATACCACCACCACTGTATGTCTTTGATTAAATTACCTTGGTTCTAGAATCCTTGTCTCTACATGCAGTAACTGAGTCTCTTAGCAATAAAATATAGCAAAGGTTAACCTGTTTGTGACACTTTCCTTTCCCGCCCCCCCGACCTTAAAAATTGCATTGATTAAGTCATTACAAGCTGTTGGCGGGTTGATATAATTTTTATAGGATGCTAATAGAACAGAGCAGACCGCTCATTAAAACACACTGATTTCAGTTGCTCACAAGGAATTGCCAGAACGAGAACTTGAAAGATACAGAGCCATATACAGTCTTCTGCCAGCTTCACATTGGAACTTGTTGGATAACCTGAATACCTAATAAGTCTTGAAACCTGATGGTTAGAATATTTAGTTCTGAATGTGCTGAGTGGTCATTAACATCAGGGAAAATTAAAATGAGTTCCTTCCTTGGTTTTTTTTTAATATTCTGCTTAACGTGCCATTTATCAAGCACTCATGGATTTTAAAGTGAGTCCTTACTTTGTTAGAATTTGGCATGCTAGAATTTTATGGCAGGTACTTTTCCCCAATGAGAGGGAGGCCTCTTCCCTTGAGGGATGTTTTGCAACTTCAGAAATATAAACACTGTCACTACCTTTCTCATCATTCAAGTGGATAACATCCACGCCATTGGCCCTCATTATATGCCATAATCTCTCCAATTTATAGACCCACAGACCACTGTGGAAGCCACTTCCATGCTTCTGCAGCTCCACTCTAAAGTAGCCTTGCTGGCACTATTGTCACATGTGAGAAGGGACCATAACACCTTAAAAACCATTCATCTTATTGCACAGAAACACAGGACATCACTCTGAGGACTAACATGATTTTGCAACAAGTACTTTTCTGAGGTCTCAACAAATTCGGGTACCAGGAACTGGCCAGGTGGACCTGAAGGTATTGGTCCCAGTTTCCAGAAGAACATATAAGAATCACAAGGTCTCAAATCCATGCATACCACAAATATGCAATATTTGCAATAGCTCATAAGCAGACAAAGCCGGAACTAGAGTTTTTGCACCACAGTCTGTGACCTGGAATGACAAGGAAGTCCCAGAGTAGAAATAAAGACTGGTACATAGATACTGGTGTTTCAGGGTTCATCTGATTAGTTTCTTGGGCTGTGTAGTATCATGAATTGTTAAATGTCCATATTGATTGGAACTACTGAGAGATATAGCTCAGCAACATCTACAACTGTCCATACTTTACTGATTTTAAAGATGGGACAGCATATTCTTGAAATATGGCTGTCCAAAGACAAAGACATACATTTATAATCTCTAAGTAACATTTCGTGCTTTGGAATAAAAGTTCCGTATGTGAAATACTTATAAAAGCTTTTCCCTGCCTAAATTATAGATGTTGCAGAGGATGGAACAGAGAAGCTGGCAGTTTTGAGGATGAAGCCAAGAAACCACCTCCCACAGTTCTTTTGTATGTTTCTTTTTTTTTTTTAAGGAGATCATAATGCAAAGCCACAAACCATCTATAGGAAAATCTAAAATGCAAACACTTCTATAACATTGCAAAATGTATTCACATATTGTGTAAAGCCTAATATTGTTTGAATAATAAGCCCTAGTTTTACTCATTATAATGAACACAGTTCATTACAATTTTTTTCCAAAATTTTCTTGATGAAAGGTGTTTTATTTGAAATGCTTTTGAATCTGAGACACCGTCTCCTCCTTGTGGGAAATGTCCTCTTATTTTTTGTTGAGCTTAAAGGCTCCAGTCAGTGCATCTGATTCTACAAGAACTTTATCAGAAACATTAAAAAGGAACAATGATAAAAAGAACTGCCTGCCACCTTAACCAATAACTCTGTAGTCTTGCAAACAATCAAAGCTATTATTGGTGGGATGAAAACAATAGGAAGGGGAGAATGGTTGCATGGATGCCATAGGGACTTTTCATCTTACTCACTTGTCCTACTCTCAATCCTGAATTATTCCAGAAATGGTTTCCCCTCCACTTTTTGACTTTTTAAAAAATCTATAGTAAGGGGACAAAGACCTTTGTCCTGTTTGTTCAGAAGCCAGACCTTAGATGCAGGACTCCCATGAATTAATGACAGTTGGCATGCAAGTCTGAAGCTTGTACATTAACACACCTTTATGGAATAGGATTCAATAATTCAATAGTTTTTGAGTGAGAATATTGTGTGCTTGCTCAAAAAATGTGTCTCCAGAATCTTCCAGAATGTCTCTCTGCTTGTTAGGCTTGAAGGAAAAATTTCTGTGAGAGACATGGAGTCACCAGCACTGAGATTCATTAGACAAAGTTCTACATCACCAGCACCAGAATTGAGAATACAAGACCTCACAGGGACCAATACTGGCATCAGTATCTCCTTTGGCATCACCAATTCTCTTGCTCCTCTGCAGTTACTTTCTTTTGCAGATCCTTTCTGCAAAAGGGAAAAATGTGGTCATGCCGAAAATGAGGCACTGCTCTCCAACATAACATTTGTTTCCAAACTGACTCTTGAATGCTTTTTTTGCCATTATTCCCACCTGCCCCAGGGGTGGAAGGAACAAGGGAGCAAGCTTCCTCACCAGATGCCTTCTGGGAAATGGATGGTTTGTGACAGTACACAGGTTCACATGGAACCCAATCAATACACTTCAGTGAAGTACATCCATCAGTTCATAATGGCAAAAGAGCTAGTGGAAGCAAGTCACTGATCAGGTTGGCTGCTTCATTTTTACAGAGGCAGCTTCTGTAAAATTCACTTTTGCCAAAACAAAGCAGCACAAGTGCCCCATTCAACCAACAAGAAATAGAATGCTGCAACTATTAGTGAAGGTGCTTTGGTGAACATTGGGCTAAAGCTTTCACTGAAACAAATAGATGGGGAACTCATTAAATTTGCAGATGACACAAAGCTTTCAGGAATAGCCAACACTCCAGAAGATAGGCTTAAGACTCAGAAGGATCTTGACAGACTTGAACATTGGGCACTATCTAACAACATGAAATTCAATGGTGAAAAAAGTAAGGTTCTACATTTAGGCAAGAAAAAACAAATGCACAGGTACAATATAGGTCCGTGATGGCGAACGCAGAACCCTCTCTCTGGGCACGTGCATCATCGCCAGCTGCTCTCTACTGGGTTCCGGTGCACGCATGTGTGCCAGCCAGCTGACCTTCTCAGGTGTGTGACGGAACCCAGAAGAGCAACTGGCCGCCGCGTGCATGTGCTTCGACCAGCTGTTCTCTTTCGGGCTCTGGTGTTCCGGCATGCACATGTGCACTCCAGTTTTAGCACTCAGTGCTGAAAATGTTAGTGGTCACTGGTATAGGTGGTACCTTGCTCAATAGTAGTAACTGTGTGAGAGATCTTGAAATCCTAGTGGACAATCACTTAAATATGAGCCAGCAGTGTGCTACAGCTGCCAAAAAAGCTAACACAGTTCTAGGCTGAATAAACAGGGATGGAATCAAGATCACGTGAAACGGGTGGATTCTACTTACCTTTACTTCTGGTTCGCAACAGGAGCGCGTGGAAGCTTCTGTGCATGCACAGATCATCAAATATGGCGGGTGGACAGAGCCTCCCACCACTTTTACTACCAGTTTGCAAGAACCGGACAGAACCGGGAGCAACCCACCACTGATGTGAAGTGTTAATACCACTTTATAATGCCTTGGTAAGGCCACGCTTGGAATACTGCATCCAGTTTTGGTCACCATGATGTAAAAAAGATGTTGAGACTCTAAAAAGAGTGCAGAAAAGAGCAACAGATGATTAGGAGATTGGAGGCTAAAATATAAAGAATGGTTGCTGGAATTGGGTATGTCTAGTTTAATGCAAAGAAGGACTAGGGGTGACATGATAGCAGTGTTCCGATAGCTCAGGGGCTGCCACAAAGAAGAGGGAGTCAAGCTATTCTCCAAAGCACCTGAGGGTAGGACAAGAAGCAATGGATGGGAACTAATCAAGGAGAGAAGCAACTTAGAACTAAGGAGAAATTTCCTGACAGAACAATTAATCAGGGGAACTATTTGCCTCCAGAAGTTGTGAATTCTCCAACACTGGAAGTTTTTAAGAAGATGTTAGATAACCATTTGTCTGAAGTGGTGTAGGGTTTCCTGCCTGTGCACAGGGTTGGACTAGAAGACCTTTACATTCCCTTCTCCCCAACCCTATTCTATTCTATTCTATTCTATTCTATTCTATTCTATTCTATTCTATTCTATTCTATTCTATTCTATTCTATTCCATTCCATTCCATTCCATTCCATTCCATTCCATTCCATTCCATTCTAAATTAGCTAAAGATTTGCGGGCCAGACAAGCTAGCATGGCAGCTATTTTTTGAGTAGGCATGTCTTCACATAGCAGCCATTTTGTAATACAGACCAGGCATGCTGTAAACATTCCAACTGCACCCAATTTTTTGCCTGCTTTGTCCAGCTTTTTACTGTCCTCTTCAAGTTAAGCTCTCCCTTCAATGGATGTATTATTTTTAAAAGAGAAAAAGAGCAAGTGAGCAAGCAAAAGGAAAAAAAATAAGCAGACAAAGGAAATTACCAAGATTGTACTGCTAGTGCTCAGGATATCATTGAGAAATAAAAACAAAGTATGTTAAGTTACGTTAACAAGGTAGGAAAGGATTGGAATATCTGAGCTAAGTGCCAAAAACCTTCAATCGAGCCTTCTAGAGTTCAGATCTTTCTACTTTCTTACATTTCTTGGTCTGAAAGGCCATAAAAGTAAAAATCCATGTGTTAACCATGGAGGTCAGCCCATGTGGTGTCCAGTCTGGCCTAAAAATCAAAACCCTAAAAACGGAAAGCAAGATCTCACACTGTAATGTTTGCAGGTAGCAGTGGATTAAGTGGCAGACACAATCATTCATCTCATCTCCAGGGGTGGGTTCTACTTACCTTTACTACCGGTTCGCAACAGGGCAATGCGTGCATGCTCACTTTCCTCGCACGCGCGTGTGCTCTTCTGCCCATGCGCAGAAGCGTTCTGATGACGTCAGGGTCAGTGAGTGGAGCCTCCCGCCGGTTTTACTATCGGTTCTATAGAACCAGTGCGAACCGGGGGCAAC